CATGCGGGAAACATTAATTCTCGGCGGTTTGGCCCAGGATGAAGCGTCTTTGCAGGGGCCAAATCTCATGCGTTTCCGTGCCCCCCCCCACCCCCTGCCTTTACCATGTTAGGCTTCCTTCTTCATTCACTGATTTATTTGTTCAGCAAGCGCATTTGAGAGCTCTGCTCTTTGTCAATCCTTGGGCTACGTGCAAGGTTTTGCCCTTGCGGAGTTTACCTTCGAGAATAGAGGGAGGCCGTAAAGATATGCCCTAGCTTTAGGGAGAGGGGCCATACAAGTACTTTCATTAGGTCATCAGAGCGGTGAGGGGATGGGTCGCGTGCGATGAAGGGCCGGGTGTTGCTTTGTGCAACAGCGAAGGCCTGCTGCCGGGGCTGGAGCCGCGTGCCCACCTGGTGATTATTTCATCGGCAAAGCATTCTGGCCAAGTAAAACCTGGCCTCGTGTAACCTGGAGGTTCCTTTCTTCAATGTAAGCCTCTTTATTTATTTATTTATTTAAAAAAATTTTTTTTTCAACGTTTATTTATTTTTGGGACAGAGAGAGGCAGAGCATGAACGGGGGAGGAGCAGAGAGAGAGGGAGACACAGAATCGGAAACAGGCTCCAGGCTCCGAGCCATCAGCCCAGAGCCCGACGCGGGGCTCGAACCCATGGACCGCGAGATCGTGACCTGGCTGAAGTCGGACGCTTAACCGACTGCGCCACCCAGGCGCCCCAATGTAAGCCTCTTTAAAAAAAATTTTTTTTAATGTTTATTTATTCTTGAGAGAGAGAGAGAGAGACAGAGCATGAGTGGGGGAGAGAGAGGGAGACACAGAATCCGAAGCAGGCTCCCGGCTCCGAGCTGTCCGCACAGAGCCCGACACAGGGCTCGAGCTCACAGACCGGAAGATCATCATCCAAGCCGAAGTCGGATGCTCAACCGACCGAGCCACCCAGGCGCCCCCAATGTACACCTCTTTAAGATAAAAATGCCAGGGGCACCTGGGTGGCTCCGTCGGTTGAGCGTCCGACTTCGGCTCAGGTCATGCTCTCGCGGTCTGTGAGTTTGAACCCTGTGTCAGGCTCTGTGCTGACGGCCTGGAACCTGCCCCAGATTCTGTGCCTCCCTCCCTCTCTTCCCCTCCCCTGCTCACTCACTGTCTCTCAAAAATAAATAAATGTTAAAAAAATTTTTTTAAATAAAAATGCCAGTGGGTTCCCACAGTCCCCCTCCTCGGAAGGCCCCAGCCTCCTCCAGGCCCACCATCATCTCTCAGCTCCCTCAGCGCCCCAGCCTTGTACCCTCACCCCCCACCCATGGCCGGTGCACATGCGGCTTGCCCAGCTGGCCGTGCAGCATCATTGCACAGTGTTAGGAGAACTGACCACGTAGAACACCGCGTGACTGGCATCCCCAGCAGGTAGAGCGCCAGAGCTCTCGCAAGCCGCTCACCGTAGCTGGAAGCCCACCCCCTAATTTCTCCTGGCTGACTTCTCTGCTTACGTAAGACCACAGCTCGGATCTCCTGTCTCCGGGAACCTCCTTTGGCCTCCGGAATGGCCCTAGCCCCGCACGACGTACCCCCCTTGCCCATAAACCTCTTGGTAGTACTTAAGCATAGCTGCAATGTTACTTTTCTTCATACGATGATGTCACCGAAGCCAGTCAGCCCCGCTAGGATGGACGCTCCATCAGCCTGGAAGCCATGGCCGTTTATTTGACGTTTCCTCCCCATCGTCATTCCTGTGCAAGCGGTTTCTGGCTATGGGCAGTCATGCCAGAAATGTTTGTTGAATGAATCGCTAACCTTCCAGGAGGCATCCGGGTCTTTTATCGATCCCTTAACATGCAGAGTTTTGTTACTCCAAAGCCTAGCAGGAAAAAGGCAAAGAATCACTACCAGACGTCCCCCTGAGAGGAAACCCAGCCCTTTCCCAAGAAAGCCAAGCTTGTTTATGTTCACCAGTCTAGAGGGCAGAGACGTTGTTCGTCTCACCTTCCCACTGTCAGCAAAGAATGAACGGCCAACGTCTCTGGTTGAGGCTGGAAAGCCAGGCAAGTCGGGCCGTGACTTGAGACCAGGCTCTTAACTGGAGAACTTCCAGCACCACAGCCAAGGCCACTGGTCACATCCTTAGATTGAGGCTCCAGCATATTGTCTTACCTGCATTTCCCAAGACCCCCAGTCAGAAGCTGAGGATGCAGACTAGTGTCTAATTCGTTTGGACCTGCTCTGAAAAGGGGACCGCCGACTGGGGGGCTGAAACAGCAGTGATTCCTTTCTCACTGTTCTGGAGGCTGGAATCCCGAGACGGATAGCACATGGCTGGGTTCCAGTGACACGTTTCTGGTTTCCTCACATGACACAGAGACACAGAGGTGAGGAGAAGAGAGCAAGGTCTCCTATAAGCTCTTCCTATAGGGGCACTAATCTCATCATAGGGGCTCCATCGTTATGACCCGAACACTTCCCCAAAGCCCTGCCTCCTAAGACCATTCCGTTGAGGGTTAGGGTTTCAACATATGAATTTCGAGGGGACACAGACACATAGTCCATAACACCTAGGAAGCGTCACGTTGAGATTTCTGGCCGATGTCATCCATAAGAGGCAACATGAGACGTCTCTTCCTTACCAAGAAAGACTTAGAGTTACACAAAGTAATCTGGCTCAGGTGGCCATCAACACGTAATTATTTTTTTTAATGTTTTATTATTTTTGAGAGAGAGAGAGAGAGAGAGAGAGAGAGAGAGAGACAGAATCCGAAGCAGGCTCCAGGCTCTGAGCTGTCAGCCCAGAGCCCGACGCGGGGCTCGAACTCATGAACTCATGACCTGAGCCACCCACACACTTTGTCAGGTCCTGGTCTAGGCACTGGGGACGTAGTAGTGGAAAAGACAAAAGTGCCGGTCCCCAGGGAGCTCACTTAGTGGTAGAGGCAGTAGGTGAGTATAGAAGGTAACCGGCTGGTGCTAAGTGCTGCTGGGCATATCAAACACGGCTACGTGTTCGAGAATGATGCAAGGTGGAGGAAACAATCTTAGGCTGAGCTGAGAACCAAGTGATACATGGAGTCCAGCTGTGCAGATACTTAGGAGAGCAGTGTTCCCAGAAGGGGGGGAAGGGGTAGCAAGCACAAAGGTCCTAAAACTCAGTTAATGGCACTGACCGGTCATCTGGGGGTACAAACTGATCTGCCCATTTTAAAAATCCACAACCATGACAAAAAGAAAATATATTAAGGGCACCACTTGGATTCTAAGTTGTTCTCTGTGCTCACGTTTTGGCTAAGGAGGGAACAAATTCAGTGTAGTTCTCTCTGTTTAATCTCATATCGTTCCAAGATTTCCCTCAATCCACCCGTCTCTCTATTCCTGAATAGCTTAAATGGTGGCCAGATAGTATGAGAAGTATGTATTTTCGTGAAGTCTTGTCACACTCATGTGACAGCGGGGCCATGGAGAGGAGCGACAGAATCATCCCTCCCCTTCGTCACTCAGGAGAATTGTAAAATTGTGTAGTTGTGGGCTTTGCTGTTGACCACAAATGTTTGATCGGCACACTTGGGGAATTTACAGTGCCTTCGTGGGGTGAAATAAACATCCAGATAAAAAAGCCAAATGCCTTTCAAGGCTTCTGCTGCACTGGTAAATGGTCCTTATAGGGCAGAAAATTGATAGTTTGAGGGTTAATAAGGAAAGCCACTTGGGAAAGATTCTGTAGGAAACAAATGGATTTACATTTTAAAGGGTTGGAAGAAGGAGGAAGAAGAGTCAAAACATGACAAAAGAAAATTATAGTGTCTTATGTCGGGTTCCCTAGAAGCAGAGCCTGAGGCAAGGATTTGGATACAGGTGACTTTTTGAGTGATCTCAGTAAAACCTGTGAGGGAGCGAGGGAAGCAAGATTGTGCTGCGGAAGGAGGTGGTCCCAGGTACAGTGTGACCTTGGTCTGAAGCACAGACACAGGGCTCTGGAACTTAACCCCCATCAGAGTTCTCCTATTTGGAGGCAAGGAAGATGGACGTTTGTATCCCAGTGTCAGTCAGCCGTTGGTCGTGGGCAGCAGGAAGGGGTCTTCACCTTTCAGATGAGGTGGCACCTGTCAGCCTCTGTGGACAATTCCCCAGAGGGGCATCTGGATTCTCTCTCTCTCTCTCTCTCTCTCTCTCTCTCTCTCTCTCTCTCTCTCAAAATAAATAAACTTTAAAAAAAATGATAAGTTCTCCAGTAAGAGAGGCCAGGTTCTATACGAGCTCTTATTAGGACCCCTGAATCTAGGGGAGACAGTCTAAAACGGTTTTGCCCTTCACAGTAGCCTTGAGCTACATATGGTTATCGAGCACTTGAAATGTGGTTAATCTCAAGTGAGACGCTCTGAAGGTATAAAATACACCTGGCATTTCAAAGACTTAGTATGAGGGAAAAATGCTAAAGGTCTCATTAATGATTTGTGGTATTAATTACACGTTAAGAAGACCATAACATTTTGACTACATCGGGTTAAATAAAATAGATGATCAAAATTAATGTTACTTGTTATTATCTAACTTGTTTAATGTGGCTGCTAGAAAATTTTAAATTACCTATGTGGCTCGCTTTATATTTGCATTGAGTGGCTCGGGTCTAGGGGCTTCTTGAAGCTTTCCTCATGCCTTCAACACCACAGATAAGCTTGCTTAACAACCCAGTAACAATCCCTGGTCCAGTTAACCTGGATGTTCACCGAGTATCTCCTCGTGGTAATGAAGAGATAGCCATGTTACTCCAAATTTAATATTGGGCACTTCCCATCACTCGAGACCACCACGTTTTGTTCGTTTTCTGTTTGGTTTGACATTTATTTATTTTAGAGAGAGGCAGAGACAGGGCACAAGTGGGGGAGGGGCAGAGAGCGAGGGAGACGCAGGATCGGAAGCAGGTTCCAGGTTCTGAACTGTCAGCACAGAGCCAAGCGTGGGGCTCGAACTCCTGAACTGTGAGATCATGACCTGAGCCCAAGTCGGGACCCAGGCACCCCTGGTTTGGTTTGTTTTTAACAAGCCCCTTTGATTACGGACTTCTCTTTACGGCTCCCTCTGGCATCCAAAAGCTCACAAAACCAGTTTTCTTTCCTCCCACACCCCATTTTAGATCATTGGAGTTGGAACAGGATTTCCATCTACCACAGATAACAATTCCCGTTTTATCAGTCCCCTTTTCTCTTCTCTACGTGGCATGATTTTGAATATACATCTAGAGAAGCAAAAGTGAAGAGGCAAAGAAATATAAATGGTTGGAAGTGAGTCTCTCTTCCAGTAATTTTTCCCCTCCCCTAGTAAGATGTCACTCCAAGAGAGGTTTCACAGCACAGAAAGACCCGAAAGTATGATCATCGTTCGACGCGTAATTGAAAGATTTCAAAAGTTGAACTGGAAGCATTTTTGTCAGAGTTTATTGCAAGTGTTTTGTATCTTAAAAAAAAAAAAAAGTTTATGAAAGTTCTGTGACAAGAAGATGAATTACGGAACCATAAGAACAGGGAAATAAATGGGTCCTGGAGACTGACAAACGGGGCAGATGACGAGAACGTATAATTTTAGGACACACACAAAAAAAAGGTAACTAAATTTGAAAAATTGCATTAGTGTACCATTTTCCGTCTATGAGCCATTAGAGGGGAAAAGTGGAAATTACACCCTGTAACAAAGTAAAAATGTTTTCAGTGTTTAAAGGTAATTTTGTAATACTGCTGTTACTTAAACTCTTACCTCTTAGAAAAATCCAAAGACAGGACCCCTGGTGATATTACCTGTGTCTTAGGCAAAGAGCAACAATTTGAATTCCATTCAAATACATTTGTATTTTGCCAAGTGCTATCAAGCTCTGAGCTGCATAATTTGCAGGATAAGTGATATAGATACTTTTTCTCTCCTCATTTCTCACTCTCCGATGGGCTTCATTACTGACAATCAAATCATAGAAGATGTACAAAATTGTCATGATGCAGTTATTTCCTCATGATGTTCGATACAAATAGTACTTCTTTACAAATGGCGCTTTTTTTTTTTTTTTGCCCTATTTGCCACAACATTTTTGCTGTCTTTTTAGAATCTTACTAAAGTTCCAGGGATAGACTTTTTTTTTTCCGCGG